AATAGATCTATTTCAACTTGTATTTAGAAAAGAGTAATCAAAGGGAGCAGTTAGTAGTAGCACCACCTCAGAGGAGAGAAACTTGAGGATATGAGGGAAGAGCTCTGGCGGAATCCTGCTGAAGAAACCATCATCTATCCTCCTTGGATTTATTACTCTGTTATTCACGCCACCATTTTGCTCCATCCGAAGCCGCTTCGGCTGTCGCACCTCCTCTTTCTCTGATCTTGCATCTTCCTGAATATCACACCAAAATCCAATTTTAAGCTCGGAATATTAGATCACCGAACTAAATTAACCATATAATATAATTTTTCACACACAGACACATAAAAAGCTAGAATCTAGATAACAACATCGAAAACCCAAGTTGATCATTTTCAAACAAAGAATTACGTGTTACCTGATCGGAGATCTCTGAAAGAACTTCGGATTCTAAAAAATGAGCCAGATGTTCGTCTTCATCTTCTGAAACGGTCATGATTACACCACAAATTCTTAGATCTAGATAAATAATCTGTTGTAGAAAATATAAATTTAGACGGCCGGAACAGGCCGCCGGAAAAGCACGCCGGCAGATCTGGTTTTCCGCTGATGAGTTCTGAATGGAAAAATCCCCTAGGAGAAAATTGGGGGCTCCTTTGCGTCGCACATATTCGGGTCGGGTCGCGTCAATCGGGTAGCTACACATCCACCACCATTATCCTTTTCTTTTTATTTGGAACCGTCAATTTCATTTTACAAAAAATAAATTACATGTCTAATTAACGATAGTATATTGAATAAATGACTAAATGTATTTTTAATAATCAATATTTTAACATTATTCCTCATCTTATCAAATTGATTCTATAAGATACTAGGTGTGAAACCCGTATATTATACGGGTTGATTTAAAAAAATATTAAACTTAAAGTATAAAAAAGAAATTTTTTATGTATAATTTTAAAATAAGAAAAAACAAACGTATTTTTTACAATTTAATATCATATATATAATATTTAATACTTTACATATATAATTATATGATTTTAATTAAAAATTAAAACAAATCAAAAATTGATAAGTGGATAATATTTATTTCAAAATTACCATAAAATGACAAATATCAAAACTCATGAGAAATTGACATGTGGCAAAAAAAACTTTCATTTATTAAGGAGGATAACATTTTTACTGTTATTATATAAGTTACTTATCGTACAAATCAGTTAACATATCTATATTTTATATAGATGAGTTGATTTTTTTAAGTCGAAGTTTATTTTAGTGAAAAAAAAAAGATAAACCTAATTAAATTTTTTTTAACTATTTTGCAAGAAAAAAAAAATACATTACCCATATAGGTTGTGTCATCTTTCTCAAAATGTTATCTATGATTTCGTCGTACCAAAATGGCACAAAACAATTTTCTTTATGTTTTTAATGATATTGTATGTATAATCCCAAAATAGTCTAAGTAAAGAATCACATAACATGAAGGTCTATTTGTAATTTCGATGGTTATATCGGTCATTTCTTAATTTTTTTAAAAAATTTATATTAAGTTAAATTTTGTAATTTTCTCTTTATTTTATAGTTTATAACTAAGTTAAATTTTGGTGGTTAAACATTTTCTTTTGTACAAAAATATGTTTTTATCGTTTTAATTCATAATAATCCATTTACTCTATTACAATATAATATAGTATCTTGTTTGTTGAAATATCGTTCTCCCCATCTCCAAATATACAAAAATTTATTTTATTTTATCGAACCGTATGTTATTAATAAAAAAATTCATTAGCTTATCACTCTTAGAAGAGCGACTATCACTATCAACGATGGATGAAAGGATGAATATCAGCCGTAGAAAAATTGTGTGTAATGAGCAAATTTTATCAAGACGTACTTGATAAGTTTAAGGTTTATCAAAACACTACAGTTTATCAAGACGTTAGTGACAAGTTTATTTTATATAAATTTCATGACTGTAATGACAGCTAACAACATTTTTGTATACAGTTCATCATCGATCGCTAGTTAATATTATTTTTAAGTGGGAAAATGTTAGAAATAATCTAACTATAGGAATCTTTCTAAATATATTTTTTATACCTTAGATGAAATTAACTAGACCATAATAATAAAACATGTTAAGTGGGAAAATGTTAAGAAAAACATTTTTATTATAGCTTCATACTCTTCTTGCAATGTTTATCACATGTAAACATATGAGATAGGACTCCGAAATATCCAAACTTCCTACCTCCGTCCTGCTCTCGATTTATTTTGGGTTACCGTTTGTTGGGCTAAGAAAACTATTTTTTACGTAATAAATATTTATTTATAGCAAAATTTTACATGTTAAAAAAATTATTGCATCTTAAAAATATTATACTAACAACTTAAAAACATGTTTTTTGTTGAAGTTTGGAAGCTCAAAATCATATTATTTTTTATTATATTTATATAATTAATATATATAAATATGTGTATAATTTATTAGGAGGTTGTATGGAACTTTTTGACATACCTACAAATATCGGTTGCCATTTCTTTTAGTTTTTGTCCCTTTCGCTTTTCCTATTTTTTCTATTTTAAACATTTTTCTTTTATGTTTTTATTACTATTAACCTTTATTGCTGGTAACCCTTATTTTATAAATTGACATTTTACATCCCCTCCTTTTTACTTTGTTATTTTTCCATTTTAAACATTTTCTTTTATGTTTTATTGCTATTAACCCTTATTCTATAAAATAATATTTTACACCCTTTTACTTTTTAAAATATTATTTTTACCCTTTGATTTTGCACTTTGTATATTGCTATTTTCGCAGCTTCATTTTCTAAATTTTTTTGTTTATTAGTTTTCCTAACTTTACGATTCCTCCTACAAAACCAATTAAAAGAAAATGAGATAATAGAATCAAAAATCAACGCTCTCTTGTACTTCACGATCCTAAAAACTAACGCATTTCGGTAAGTCCAAAGAACCCAAATTAAAGTAGCACAAGTCGTCTCAATGATCAGTCTTCGAGCATTTGCAATAGCTTGACTATCAATCCACTCGAAAATATCTTCAATAGAGTTAAAGGATGGCACCATAAACTTAAGCCATACTTGACGAGTCATCAACCACTTCAAAAGTAAGTGAACACCATCTTCTATCACCTCCCCACAACATGGACATAAAATAGAAGACAAATCAATTCTCAGATGATGAAGGTTACTCCTCGTCAGTAAGCGATTAAGGATAAGCCTCCATATAAAAATATTAATTTTATAGGAATAGAAATATTCCACCTGACCCAAAACTCATCTCCATGAGTCCAATCTATCCGTAATCTGAACCAAATCTAACATCTATGTAATTGCCAAAGATGGGATTCCAACACTCCCATACTTATTGATTTCCTCCATGGAATCTCCCAAGTATTACCCACCCAATAATCACTGATAACCGTCTCACTATTGATCACCACAACAAACAATCTTGGAAATCTAGCCTTTAAAATAGCATCACCCACCCACACATCCAACCAAAATCTAGTACTCGCACCATTACATACTTGTCTTCTCATAGAATCAAACGGAATCTTACCATTAATATGAAGATTCCAAACTAAATTAACGACCCTCATCTAGGCCCCCGACTTCGACCTATAAGAAGAAGACAACAAAAAACCACCATCACTTCCATGACAACTTTTGAACAAAGTAAATCAAAGGAGATTACCATCGTTTAGGAATCATCATCTCCACTTGTAAATTAAAGCCTCATTAAAAGCTTTCAAACTACCAATCTCTAACCCACCATATTTTTTCTTATTTAAAATAACCTCTCATTTCACCTATTTAAGAATTCTATCTTGATCTCTACACCCCAAAAAAATCTAGTCTGAATTCTCTCCAACTTCCGAGAAACATTAACTAGCATCTTAAAAAGAGATAACATTCTAATCTTCCAGACAGAAAGTCTTTTTTGAATCATATCCAAAAGAGTATCCCAAGCCATCATCCTATGCATTTCCGATAGTATATATAATATGATTTTCCTATAATTACCACCCTTCAACTTTGTAAAATATCACTATAACTCTCTTACCTTTAAACTTTGTAAAATGCACCTTCACGCCTTTAGCTTTAAACTTTGAAAAATTGTTTTGACCCCTTTGGCTTTGAACTTTTGTATAATTTGATTTTCATTATTAACTTCCATTCCTTAACACCCCCCCCCCCCCCCCAAAAAAAAAAAAAAAAAAAAAAAAAAAAAAAAAAAAAAAAACTAATTTTTAATGCGCTTATTTTTATGTATCACTCGATATAAATTTATGGTTGTCAACATTTTATCATACATTTAGAATTTTCGTTTGTCGATATATATATATATATATATATATATATATATATATATATATTTGTTTTTTATGTACATATCAGTATGAATTCGAGTTTTTGTACATTTCTACATTTTTTTTTATTTTTATGTTTGTGCGTTTGTTTTATATATGATTCTTACATATGAGTCAATCACATATAATACGTTTTTTATTATTTGAACTTCCGTGTAGTATCTTTATAAAATAATCTTACTTGCTTATTTATATACCTATCGATATAAATTGAAGTTTATTTTATGTTTTGATGTAAATTTTATATATCTTTTCATGCTTATTTTTATGTACGTTTTCTACGTATGAATTCAGTCACATATAATATATTTTCATTCGATAGTATAAATTGGAGTTATTAGTGGCACCAACCTCCTATATTAATCTACCAACAGATGCAACAGTATCTAACATTCATCAATACAATCGTCAAAATTCAACCTAAACATGTTACTGCCGCCACAACACATAGCGGGTAAAACCCTACTTTAAGGTAAACATAATATATGTAGTATCATAAATATAACATTTGTTATAACTCAATGAATATGATTCTATAACTTACACATAAGCTATAAGTTCATAAATTAAACATGCAATCATAAGAGAAACGTATGAGTGAAGTCTCTAATTATTCATCTCCTTGGAAAATTACTTCTCTATATAGGCATCATAATCCATCCGATTTGATCAACAAAACACTGTTACGAAGAAAATCACAAAATAACAGAATCATTAACAGCTACATATCATTTCCAAATGGGTGTTCCATGTTTCTTTTAATATTCAATGCTAAATTTTTTGAAGTTGCAAAAAATGACAGACAAATTTTTAAATGATAACAATGGCAAAATCTCATTTTTCACAATATGAGAACTAGTCAACCGACTTTATCTTTTGGCCAAAAAGTTGGTTTCAAAAAAAAAAAAAAAACATTTATGACTTCTCTTGGAGCAATTTATCAGCAACTGGGAAGTCCGGAATTATATCCACTGGAACCTGCAAAATACAAATCAAAATAAAATAAGGAGTAAATATAAGGGATAATTAAAGTTATATATTACTAAATAGTAGTAAATACATGTTAAGCAATTTACCTGAACCATTTCTAGTTTTTTCAAAGCAAGTTTTAAAGGCTGTGTCATGACACAGTATTTTATAAGAAGTTGTCGAGCAGCATCTTTGTCCCCTTTTCCTTGTATTGTTAGTATAACCCTACTTAACCCCTCAACTGCATCTTCAATCTATCATTTATCAAACCAGTCAAAAAAAGTCAAAAGTAATTTTTCATTATCATCCCAATAGAAACTTGATAAAACAACCACACTACCTTATCAAAGTCAACAGAAAATGTTTCATCAGGATGTAAAACAAATGCCCCTTTCTCATATAACCAGTTGAATTGTAAAGCTTGACCTTTTCTGATAACAAAAATTTTTCAAGATAATTAATTAAGAAGTAAAAAAAAAAAAAAAATTTAATCAGATTAATATATAAACAAATCGAGTGGAGTACCCATGAGCTTCCTCTAACCCAAAACGTACAGACCGGAAGCAACCTGCAAGGTAAGAAACATACATTGACTTCACCAGGCTCTTTGGAAGCACACCCTGGTCAACCCAATGGTCAACTTTTCATCATTTTCAAATTTACTTTACACAAATTAATATATTAATTAAAATATAAATATATATCAACAAATTACTGACCTTATCAATAAGAAATTTTAGGGCCCACAAACCAACAATGTCGGCTTTGGCTTCTTCCAAAGCTGAATGGAGTTCTTGTAGCTCCTGTTTGTTGATTCATATAAAGCGATTATAATTTAATAAAGATTATTAAATTTGGTAAAAAGAAAAAGAAACCCACCAATCTCACAGTTGACTTTTGACCATCTGGAAGTGTTATTGTATGTGGTCCTATCCCATGACAACATTCATGGCAAATTGTGTGAGTGAAAAAAGAATCAAAGTCAACAAGTTCTTGTTGTTCTTTTATAATGCATACATCAGCTATAGGCTGCAGAATAAGCTTGAACCTGTTTTCAACACAAATATATAAATTTTAAGAATATATGTAATGTAGGTAGTAGAAAAAAATAAAGTAAAAGAATGTATTTAATTACTTAGCCTCAGAAACATTCTTCAGCATCACCATTGATGTGCCACGATCTTTTACTATTCGCTCATCATTTGGAAGATTAAATGCAACTGTTTGAGGACCCTTCACATCCTGCAATAACATTATTAATCTTTTAAATCATTTTGCCTAATGACAAATATCAAAATTAAAAAAAAACAAAACAAAACAAAAAAAAAACAAATTGTAATTTTAAAGGACTCACCCCTGAATTATAAACAAGATGCACAACACGTATAGGTGCGGATATTACTTCTGATGATTTATAAATGGTGTCCAATGGAAGATTTTGCTCCAAAATCTACATAATTTTAATTAATTGATATACAGGACAAACAAATTAAGGTTTAATCTAAAATTGCACCTGTAAATGGTCTCCAAACAGTTTAACTTGAGCAGTTGCTCTATCATCCCGAATTCCAATAAACGCCTCAAATGTGGCCTAAGAAAGATTTTTAAAAAACATTATTTCTTAGTAAATATAACAAAAAATCAACACAGACAAATCCTATATATAATACCTTGTATCCGAATAGTACATCTTCATAAGTCTCATATGGGCCAATAGTAACATCCACCTTAGAATCCTTTAAAACAAGAAAGATGTACACTATCAAAAAAACATTTAAATATTGAACAAACCAATTTTTTTACTAGTGAATGAAGATTTAAACTTGATTTTACTAAACTTTTGATTCATTATTATATATGTGACAAGGCACTGGAGGTGGCTACTTCGCCCCATTTTATACTCGGGTTAAAAAAAAGTAATCTAATTTTTGGTCTCCAGGTATAGCTGATTTTTGCAATTTTGGTCACAAAAGTGTAGTCATTTTACTTGAACAAAGACCAAAACATTATAAAAACCTCAAATAAGGATCAAAACTGCAAGAGAAAACTTTTCGGGACCAAAATTGAAAAAATGAACTATAATCAGGGACCAAAAAGGTAATTTACTCTAAAAAATTAGCAACTAACCAACTCCATCCAGGCTATATCAGAGTCATAATAGTCATTTGAAAGGAAAGCATCAGCCTTGCTATGTAGAAGTTTCTTCAAACTATAAAACCATAAATTACATTAAAACACTTTTACTTTCCTATAACATGAAGTCTAAAACTTTTAACAAACACTATTCTTTTCTTACCTAGGTGAACTTGTCAAATCACCTGCTTTATGCAATAATTCAGCAGCTTTTGCAAGAATTGCAGAATACTCTTGAGAATAAGGAATGCTATAGAGATCACTGGAAGGAGTAACTTTATTATTGGAATTGGAATGCAAATCACTATGCCTTTTAATAACACTGAAAAACCCAGCTGCATCTTGTTTCTCATCACCTGAAAGCCCTTTTGTCCATAACTCAAATTCCTAATTCAAAAAGAAAGCTCTGAGTCAACAAGCAATAATTTACAACTTTGCCACTTGTAAAAATAAAAACAAAAAAAGTTTACCATTTTATCCATGTCTGAGGGGTAGAAATTAGCACCAGGTGGTTTCTTCAAGGGAAAGGCAGCCTTGTATTCAATTCCATTCCACCCTGGAATCGGCTTTGTTGATTCCGGAAGTAATCTAATGGCAGAGTCTGCAGTTGTCAAAAATGCTTCATTTTCATCAAGGCAAGACCTACAAAACCAAATAACCTTAATTTACACAAATACCAAAGATATGATGAGTGGTCTTATAAGGTACTTGCAGAACAGGGTCTTACCATGGGCTTTTGTTCACTGAATAATAACTCCATTTCAACTTGTCAAAATGAGACTTATGAGCATTCCCCTTTAACCATTCTCTTAGAGATGGATTGCTGAATAAAACCTGCTGATGGAAAATATCATCCATCATTCTTGCAGCATGAATGAGTAACACTAATGCTTCCTTGTCTTCCTCGGTCAAACCAGTCAACTGTGGACTAAGAATAAAGATATTCATATTAAAAAGATAATTCATATTGTAGTAAAATTGATGCTAAAGTGAGAATATAATTATACAACCTCTGCAGTAAGTGAGATAGGAGCATAACGATTGAGCTTCTTTTGAAGATCCAAACTTGGTGCTTCCACATTGCAATGGTACCTTTTCATAATTATGTCAAAAAGTTGACCATATTGCCCCTCTAGACTGTAGGGAACATACTTAGGATCTTCTTTAGCAAGGGCCTGCTTATACTCCTCAATGGAGATATACTTAACAGCAGAAACTTCAGATTCCTGAAAGAAAAAGAACAAGCACATGTTTAGATTTCAAATTTTCAATAACAACTTTATAAAAGTTTGGTATATATTCTCAAAATAAAAACGATTGAATTATACATCACCTGAAGAGTAAAAGCCTCCAAGGGAACTGGGGATACTGTTGTAACGAGATAAACATCATCGAATTCATTGTTAATGAAATTACCATTATTTGTGACACTGCAATTACAAACTTATAACAATAGCAAATCATGGAATGAATATCAGAACATTTAATCTCTGTAGCTTAATGAAAAACATGTTAATAAGAAAGTAAAGTCTACCTCTGTTGCAGGAAAACAAAAAGTAATTCAAAGGCATCATTTGGGAGTGTCAGACCAAGCTCTTCTTGAAGCTCTCTCCTGCAAACAATAAACATATAACAATGAATTAGTTACTTATATCAATGATTAGATCCAAAATTTGCTTCCATGAGAGTTCAATAATTCACCTGGCAGTGATAAGGGATGAATCCCCAGCAGATATATGACCAGCACTAGAGATATCCCATAATCCAGGCCATGAATCCTTGCAGTCAGCCCGTTTCTGTAGAAGAAGTTCTTGTGTACTTTCAGCAAAAATCCACACATGAACAGCTCGGTGATAATCCCCATCTCTGTGAACAGCTCCTCTGTACAAGGTAGATTAAACAGTAATTGTGACTTAGAGGGATGGCTGGGTGATTTCAAATTAATCTTAACATCTTATTATTTTGACCTTAACTAATGACAATCGAAATCATAATCAGTTTCCGAACACTCTAACATTGATATTGAACTTCAAATCACAATAATAAGTTTAGAGTTTTGACACACATCCAAACACTCCCAGGGGAGTTCTAGCATGATCAGGAAGCCCTAGAAGCATATATTAAAGAACCTTTTCAAACATAGTCCAACTAGAAGATGAAAACAGTTATGAAATCAAATAACTGTAGAAAACAAATATGTAATCTGACCTGGGTTTGGAGATACCGGTTTTTTGACCAGTTTTAGTGAGGACGTCGAAGCGTTCTTCTTCATTTGAGTGATCAGTAGCGCTCATTTTTCTGCTATCTTTTTAAAGGATTGTGTGATTTTGCTTTGAGCTCAAGTGAGAGAGAGTTCATAAAATGTCAGCTGGAAGCCTGAAATGGAATTGCTTCGCAAGCAAAGGAAAAGACACCCGATACGAATAATATGAAAATGCAAAGAAATCAAATGGATTTTTTTATGGCAGTCAAAGTTGTAGGTCTAGTAAATTTTTTTATTTTTTTGAAGCTAATGGTCTTGGTATTTAAGTCTGATTTTTGTTATGGTATTTGTCACATCTGAAATAAAAAATGACTTCTCTACTTTTATGTTTCTTTTATATTTTTAAAGTTATTTTTTTGTTAAGTATAATAAGCCCTATACGGCTCAACGGCTCTACCCCACCTAAAACTAAGGCTAGGTGCATGCCTCCGCCATTGTATATGTACCTATACGATGGGACAAATACCACTAGCTTAGTGGTTGATTGTACATGTACCTACACAATGGGACAAGTACCATTGTACATGTTGCCCGAAAAGAACACTCTACCGACTAGCACAGTGGTCGCGCTCATTAACTCCGACGATCGAGCCACACCATAATCATTCCTTGATGCCTTGTCTCTTTTCCATGTTGAGAATATGCATAAAAGGAGTGTACATTGAGCATTTATATGAAATATTGATAGGAAATAAGGCGGTCTTAACATGACACAAATGTTAAAAGAGAAAATGAGAGAGGTATAACACGTTAGGGCTTAGAAGGTTTGTGGTAGAGATCTGAATTTCCAATAGATCGGATAGGTTCACATTCCTGATATTTTGTATGTTTGGGTTACAAGAAATTCATAGACACAGATTTGGGCAGAAAAACATAAGTTAAATTGTTAGAATAATTATGAGGTCGTCAGAGAAGAATAAGAGTTAAGAAGGGTGTGTCTTGGCTCAAAGAGAAGAGTCTTATTTATAGTTGATAAACAAGATTTCTGCCTTCCGAATTAGTTAAGTGATCCAGAAATTAATAGCATAATCAATAGTTTCCAAGACCGATAAGTTTTTTCAATTTTACCATAATTACCTATTAAAATCCGAATTTTCCACTATGATTCTGATTTAAATTTTTGAAGACCTTTTTGGGGCAGTACTCATCGACCACCACTAGGGGCTCTATCTCTTAGACCCGTTAGAGGCGTTGCCCCTAGGACTCTGCAAGGGGTCTAAGTGCATTATGAAAGTTTTTTCATGAAAACTTTAAAGTGAAAAAAACTTAATTTGTCTTAACAATAGGAGACCTTGTTTTAGGTTGTTTATTTATAGGACTATTATGTAATTATAAATTTCTAATCGGTAGAAAAACTATTAATTCCATCAAATTGTTGAAAAGTCTGAAGTAAATATCTTTGGTGATTTAACAAGTTTTTTGAAAAAGCTCAAAACAATAGTTTTTTCAAATTTCATGAACTTTTAGAAATGGGAAAACTCTCAAACAGGTCTATTGTGAAAGAAACAAAAGGTATAGTTTCACTAAATATTTTATTTATTTATTGAATCAGCATCACGTTATTTTGAAAAAACATCATAAATAGTCTCTATGGCTACCCAAAATCTGAAGTTTAGTCCTCGTGGTTTAAAATCCCCATAGATGGTCCCTGTGATTTCAAAACTTTTAACAAATGGTCCTTTTCGCTAACTCCGTTAGCATTTAACCAGGGCAACTCTGTCATTTCACAACCACAAGGACCGATAATGATGATTTGCCTTATTTAAAAAAAAAGATATATAATTATTTAATATTAAATGGTCGGCCCCACCCTCTCTCTCTCTCATTCTCCTTCTCTCTCTCTCTCTCTACCCTCACTTCTCTCTTCCCTTCCCGTTTTTCTTCACCACCGGCCAAGAAGAGGTTGCCTCCATCCCGACGGTGTAGTAGCCTACCTGATCCTCATCTCTTCCCTTCGTGATTACGACCAACCCCGACCTCCCATACCACCCTTCGAGCTCACCAACGTCGCGTAGCACCCTCCCTTGGTCATTGATGTTTTCTCTTCGTTCCCACAGTCCCATTGTTGGGTTAAATACCAAGGAAGAAACGAACTCATCGGAAAAACGGGATCGCCGGTCTCGGCAACAAATCTTCCACACCAAACCTTTTCTGCTTCTTGTGTGTTTTTTTCCCTTCTCGAATTGATGAAGACGATGGCCTCATCCCTTATTAGTTGTAACCTGTGAATACAACCTTGTAAAGGTAATCATATAATCAAATTTCTAATCAAGAAAAAAAAACGATTGATTGAATGATTGATTGCTTCATCAAGTGTAGATTCACAGAGTGGAATGATCAATCAAAGTGGAAGGAATACAGTAAGATATAGGGATCAAATTAACCAGATCTTCCAAATTGAGTGAATTACTCACAAATTCCACAACATGAAATCTCAATATTCGAGACTATGATTGAATCGATGATGAGCAGTAGTAGTAGAAGATTGATAATGATAGTTAAAATTTGATTGAAGACTCGCAAATTCCACATCATGAATCTAGATTAGGAGGCAGAATCGAGAAGTCGAGGAAGGAGGTGACACCGTTTGGAGGCGATGCGAGCATGGGAGGAAGGAATGAAAGATCTCAGTCACCATTATTTCTTGTGTGGAAGACGGAGGCAGCTAAGAAATTCTGGGTGGTGGTGCCTTTTAGGATCTGATCGAGGGTTTAGAGAGAGAGAGAGAGAGATGGTGGGGAAATTTAATATTAAAGAATTATATTTTTTTTTTCATTTTCTTTAAAATAAGGCAAAACATCATAAATGGTCCCTGTGGTTGTGAAATGACAGAAATGTTCTTCACTTAACGGTTAAATGTTAACAGAGTTAGCGAAAATGACCATTTGTTAAAAGTTTTGAAACCACAAGGACCATCTATGAGGTTTTTAAACCACAGGGACTAAACTTCAGATTTTGGGTAACCATAAGGACCATTTATGATGTTTTTTCTGTTATTTTCTTCATTCTCCCCTCACCTTTAGAAATGAACTCTCCTCTCACCTTAGAAATGATAACAACTCGCTTACCCTTTTTTAGTAAAACATATAAAAAAAAATTTTAAAAATAAATAAGAACACGATATTTTCCATGAATTCAAAACTAAAATACATAAAATAATTAAAACAAGCCTAAAGTTGATTTTTTTTTTGTGTGTGTGTGTGTCTTTGTGGTTATTTTTAGTAGCATGCTTGTTGTTTTTCTTCATTTTTTTACTTTTTAGCCGATTTTCTTTATCAAACTCCAAATACACGTCAAAATAAAATTATATGGTTGGAATGTAACTCTCAATTTCTCTAAATGTTCGTTTTGTTGATATCTCACTACACTAGATGAAGACCCTTTCTTTTTCGCTTTATTCGAACATGTTATTTCTTAAATTTCAAGGTTAAATATGACTCGAGTATCAGATGAAGTTGTGTAAGTTAAGTTAGATGCTTCCGCTCTTTTCGAGCCACCGGTTTCTTGTGTAATGCCTCCACTTCGAGCCATTTCAGAGAACATGGTAGAACCTTTGAAGGATCATGATGATTTTGAGTGTCGCGACGAAAATGTTTTCGTTTGATTGATCACTTTTTTGTTGTAATTTTTAGATTCTTGTACAAATCGTTGAACTTCGTACCTGCTTTGTTCATCTCTCGATACTTGGTGATAAGTTGGATTTTTTGTGTTATTCGCCACACCCCATTCCCGATGAAAACTTTTCTAATTGTTTCCATAATAAATATTGACCCGCTTGTGAATTATCGGTCGATGTGTCCTTCAATAGGTTGATCCATAATTTGGCCAATGTTATTTCTTCCTTTGTTGTCCACAATTGAAACGGTTTCCTAACTTTTCTTCTTTGTTAGGATTGTTTGGCTACATGCTTAAGTTTTGAGTGGGTTGAGAGATGAGTTTCTAAAACATATTCGAGTTCCGGCTTGTTGTAGGTTGCGTTTCAGGAAAAGGATTTAAGTTGGGAAATAAGGTAGGATTAGGTTTTGCGATGGTAATACGTTTGGAAGCCTTGATATTGAAATTGGTTAGGTAAGAAGATAGGGGCGTCAAACTTGTAGTTGGTTTAAACGATGTTGGAGAATCAAAACCAAATATGTTTATGGTATTGGGTTTTATTAGCATCAATACATTTAATCATGACAACAAACAAAAATCACCTAAGTGTACATGCATCCTAAAATCTAGGTTTTACTAGTTATAACAATGTACTTTCAAACACATATTAATAGAAGAATACTAACCTCTTGCTTCTTTGATTGAGACCTTATGAATGACAGAATTTGCAATGGATGAAGGACCCAAAGTAGAATCCCTCTAATGTAGTCAGATAAAAACACCAAAAGCCAATAAGGAAAACCCCTTAGGAAGGTATAATCGAAAATCACTAACCCTAAGAGAGAGAGATTATGATTTTTTGACTTCTAAGATAAAAGGAGAGATGTGGACGATTTTTATAAAGGGAATCAGCAGCAAGGCATTGGAAACAATCCATTTATATGCAATAGATAAATCCTCAAGACAATCAAACTCTTCGGTATCCTTATCTAATTCAAAATCTACCTTATCCCTATCGGGGACTCTCCAAAACTATCCCCACCATATCTCCATAAGCTTCTAGATTATTCCATTTGGGTTTTGAGGACAATCCAAAAAGACTTTGCTATTAATAGAAATATTATTAAAATATTTAATAACATTGGACACTATTTCTAACATACGGTGGATGTATTTGAAGTTATTACCAACAATTGATTACTTGTGGATGTTAGGGATGGTGTTGGCTAAATTATTTAAATCCTTTTTGGAAAATATTTGAAGAGAATATTGTTTTGTAGATGTAGTTCAATTATATATATATATATATATATATATATATATATATATATATATATGAGAGAGAGAGAGGTGATTCTTGCTTAATTTCCACAATGAGAGGCTTGACATGCGACATTTTTACAGGGCGAAGCGGTGTTATCGTGGCTACCACACAACCATGTGGGGTATACCCACCAACCTAACACCCACCTCGCTTCTTAGTTGCTTCTTTATACATAAATCATAAACTCACAAACGACACAATATTCGTCACATTTTTGTAGGGGGTGTGGATATTGTGGAAGTATATT